ACTGCTTAACCTGGAAAGATGGAGGTACCACCCTCTGGTGGAAAATGAGGGCTATCCAATCACCCGCATTGGAACCTGGAAAAGGTATCTCTATAGACCCAGTTTGGCAATAAAAAAATGCACAGCATACCTTGCAAGGATTCAATTTGTGACCCATCTGGGTTCACCTTTAGGGGAAGAAATCCTACCCCACACCCACTTCCAACCCTGTAGGGAACCATTTATTCTTCTAGGAATAGCTTTCTATTTTGCTTATCAAAACCTTGAAACACCAGTGAATGTATTTTGGCCACCATTATCCCTTCAGGGGGTATCCATTCATAACCCCATAAAACCTAGAAAAACAAGAAGTAAAAGAGCAATAGGATTAATTTTTACAGGAATTGGGACAGCAATAAGGGTGAGGGGTGGTGGCCCCGTGTGGGGGGCTTTGCATACCAGAAGTCAACGCTAAGAAACATAACTCAGGCCCTAGAATCTCTGGCCACCAACACAAGTCAGACATTAAGAAGAATTCAGGAATCTCTGGACTCTCTGGCAAATGTAACCCTGACAACAGACTAGTCTTGGATTGTTTATTGACTGAAAAAGGTGGAGTCTGCACTGTTATCAATAAGACCCGCTGCACATATATTAACAACTCTGGACAGGTTGAGGTTAACACTCAAAAGTTCTAAGAGCAAGCCACCTGGTTACATATATATAACCAGGGAACTGACCCCAACTATATCTGGTTGACCATAAAAAGTACCCTCCTGGCCAGGCACAGTGGCTCACGCCTGCAATACCAGTACTGTGGGAGGCTAAAGTGGGAGGATGAGTCAAGACCAGCCCGGGCAACATAGTGAGACTGTCTCTACAAAAAAATTTAAAAATCAGCTGGGTGTTGCTGGCACACACCTGTGTTCCCAGCTATTCAGGAGGCTAAGGCAGGAGGATCACTTGAGCCTGGGAGGTTGAAGCTGCAGTGGGCCACGATCACACCACTGCACTCCAGCCTTGGTGACAGAGCGAGATCCTGTCTCAAAAAAAACCCAAAAAATAACAACAAAGAAAACACCCTCCCAAGTCTCACCTGGTTTCTACTCTTTTTAGGACCTCTAGTGTTATCCTATAACTACCAGTCTTTGGCCCTGCCTCCTACAGCCTCCTTGTAAAGTTTGTGTCTTCTAGATTGCAACAATTTCCATGTGAAGATGATGCTGGCACATGGCTTCCAACACATCCTTGTTCTGATCCCTTAGATGAGGCATCAAGAGATTTTTACTCCTCCAGTGCTAGGCAGGGCCAATGCCCATAAAAACAACAGGAAGCAGTTGCAGAAGATGGACTTCCACCCTTCTACAACCCTGTTAAGACTGAAGGGGAGTATATAATGTGGGGAGTGAGGTAGGACAGAAGCAGGATTTGTTTTCCAAGCACTGGCCAGAGACCCTTGCTGAAGAAAACAAGAACAAAACCCTGATCAAAACAGGATGCAGCAAAGAAAGCAGCCAAAACCAGTTACAACCAAGATGGTAACAAAAGTGACCTTTGGTTGTTCTCACTGCTTATTACACACTAATTATAATGCATTTCCATGCTAGAAGAAACTCCAGTGGGTCACAGGGAGCCAGGCCTGGTGGCCACAGTGTATCATGAGGCTGGACCTGGTGATACAGAAGGTGGTGGTCCACCCCCAGGTATACTGCTCAGTGTGGTGGATCATTTCAACAGAATCAGCAAGGTTGGAAAACAGAAATGCATTCTTCATGTGCTTTTGCAGTCATGGCAAATGAAAGTACTTGATGTATCCAGCAGTTCTGCAGTCCCTTTAAATGAAGATGACACAGATGATTGTTTTTTAGCCCACGATTATTTGGAAAACACATATAGGATGTTTAAGAGGATGAATGCCAGAGAAAGAACAGTTGGGTGGTACCACACAGGCCCTAAACTACACAAGAATGACACTGCCTTCAATGAAATCATGAAAAGATACTGCCATAACTCAGTATTGGTCACTAGTGACATGAAGCCAAAGGACTTAGGGCTGCCTATAGAAGCATATATTTCAGGAGAAATCTATGATGATGGAACTTCAGCCTTGAAAACATTTGAGCATGTGACCAGTGAAACTGGATCAGAGGAAGCTAAGGAAATTGGAGTTAAACACTTGCTACAAGACATCAAAGACACTACAGTGGGCACTCTTTCCCAGTGGATCACAAACCAGGTCCTGGATGTGAAGGGACTGAACTCCAAGCTTCTGGGTATCAGAAGCTACCTGGAAAAAGTTGCCACAGGCAAACTGTCCACCAACCACCAAATCATCTATCAGCTTCAGGAGGTCTTCAAGCTGCTGCCAGTCATCAGCCTATTGGAGTTTGTCAAGGCCTTTTTTTTTTTTTTTTTGAGACGGAGTTTCACTCTTTTTGCCCAGGCTGGAGTGCAATGGTGTGATCTCGGCTCACCACAACCTCTGCCTCCCAGGTTCAAGCGATTCTCTTGCCTCAGCCTCCCGAGTAGTTGGGATTACAGGCATGCGCCACCATGCCTGGCTAATTTTGTATTTTTAGTAGAGACGGGGTTTCTCCATGTTGGTCAGGCTGGTCTTGAACTCCTGACCTCAGGTGATCCACCCTCCTCGGCCTCCCAAAGTGCTAGGAATACAGGTGTGAACCACCGTGCCCGGCCCTTGTCAAGGCCTTTTACCGAAGACCAATAACCAAATGGTGGTGGTGTACTTGGCCTCGCCGATCCATTCTGTCATCACCCTGCACAACCTCATCAACAAGATTGCCAACTGGGATGTAGAGAAGAAAGATAGGAAAAAGAAGAGAGCAAAAAAGGATACAAAAGACGACAAAGAGAAAGATAAAGGAAAAAAGTGATATAAAGAGAAAAAGGAGAAAATGTAAAACATATAGACTTTTTAATTTGTAAACTAAAATCTCATAAATTAAATCAGTGTGCCACTAGGGGGTTCTTTTCCACTTTAACTGCTTGTTAAAAAGCTGTCCTGGGCCAGGCATGGTGGCTCACGCCTATAATCCCAGTACTTTGAGAGGCCAAGGTGGGTGGATGACTTGAGGTCACGAGTTTGAGACCAGCCTGGCCAACATGGTGAAACCCCACTTCTACTAAACATACAAAAATTAGCTGAGCGTGGTGGCACACAAAATTAGCTGAGCTGTAGTCCCAGCTACTCAGGAGGCTGAGGCAGAAGAATTGCTTGAACTGAGGAGAGGCCACTGAGATTGTGCCATTGCACTCCAGCTTGGGAAACAAGAGCAAAACTACGTCTCAAACAAAACAAAACAAAACAAAACAAAACCAGGAGTTGAATTTTTCCCATCTTGAAAGACTCTTTCGGTCTGTTTCTGGTAATTTACAAAATTGCTAAATGGAATACACAAATTCCGTATGTTCTCTGCCTTGTAACACCATGAGTTCTAACCCTTCTGAACTCTGAGAATACCACAAGTTTTGGACCCATAGCATTCTCAGGCTTGGGATCCAGGCTCCGTATATTGTTTACCTTGAAAGACACAATTAAATGGATTGGTTTTAAAAAATAAAAACGGGCCGGGCGTGGTAGCTCATGCCTGTAATCCCAGCACTTTGGGAGGCTGAGGCAGGCAGATCACCTGAGGTCAGGAGTTCACGACTAGCCTGGCCAACATGGCGAAACCCTATCTCAATTAAAAATACAAAAAAAGCCAGGTGCAGTGCCTCAAGCCTGTAATCCCAGCACTTTGGGAGGATGAAGAGAGCAGATCACGAGGTCAGGAGTTCGAGACCAGCCTGACCAACATGGTGAAACCCTGTCTCTATTAAGAACACAAAAATTAGCTGGGCATGGTGGTGGGTACCTATAACCCCAGCTACTCGGGAGGCTGAGGCAGGAGAATCGCTTGAACCCAGGAAGCGGAGGTTGCAATGAACCGAGATCGCGCCACTGCACTCCAGCCTGGGCAACAGAGTGAGACTCTGTCTCAAAAAAAAAACAACAAAAAAATTAGCCGGGCATGGTGGTGCATGCCTGTAATCCTAGCACTTGTGAGGCCAAGGTAGGTGGATCACCTGAGGTCAGGAGTTTGAGACCAGCCTGGCCAACATGGGGAAACCTCATCTCTAATAAAAATACAAAAATTAGCCGGACATGGTGGCAGGCACCTGTAATCCCAGCTATGCGTGAGGCTGAAGCAAGGGAATCACTTGAACACGGGAGGTGGAAGTTGCAGTGAGCCAAGATGACACCACTGCACTCCAGCCTGGGCGACAGAGAGAGACTCCGTCTCAAAAAAAAAAAACCAAAAAAAAAAGAAGAAGTCATCTCCCACCACCTCTTCCAAGCAACCATGTCACCATCCTCTTCTGCAAGTGTATCTCTGTGTATTCTCGGCCTATGTGCCCATACCATTTTCTGTCAAACCGCAATTCATCCTTCAAATTGGAAGGGTCATTCATCTCAAACAAAGGATGAGAGAATGGAATGAAAGGGATACAGAAGTGATTATAGGGAAAGGGAGGGGAAAGGAAAGTCTATATTCATTCATAAAGTTCACTGCTGGCCAGGCACAGTGGCTCACACCTATAATCCCAGCACTCTGGGAGGCCAAGGCGAATGGATCACCTGAGGTCAGGAGTTCCGAGACCAGCCTGACCAATGTGGTGAAACCCCGTCTCTACTAAAAATACAAAATTAGCCAGGAGTGGTGGCGGATGCCTGTAATCCCAGATACTTGGGAGGCTGAGGCAGGAGAATCGCTTGAATCCAGGAGGTGGAGGCTGCAGTGAGTCGAGATCCCACCATTGCACTCTAGCCTGGTGACAGAGCAAGATTCTGTCTCATGAAAAAAAATAGTTCACTGCTGACCCTTAGAAACACAACAGTTCTAATTCCGTACCAAAATCAATATCCCCTTTCAGAAATACTACTCTGTAAAGGCACCCAGAAATAGCAATGGCAAAGAGGTATTGACAAGAATGTAACCTAGAGACCTTTTATACCTTACCTCCTTCTTCCTTGACTTCTTCACTAGGCTCTTCTGAAAAAGGCTCCTTTAGGATAGGATGATCACGTCTGTCTTCTTGGGTAACTGGCCCAGGCCTCAGTGTAATTTTTTTCCCTCTTTTTGAGCCAGTAGCCTGGAGTTTTCCTTTACCAATGTGCATATTAAGGGGGTGAAAAGACTCCAAGGAAGGTAGGGTGATTCCCTGAGAGATGGCAACATCAACACTTTCTAGAATCGGTACATTTGTGTCCTGGGTGAGCATCCCAGAGCTCAGAGATGTATCCTCCATACCAAGCTGATTTCCTGCATCCTGCACAGATTGTACTTCGAAGCCAGCTACTCTGCCATGACTTGGATCCCAGGACAGTGACACCGACCTCAAGTCCTTAACCTGGTCAGATTCTGGTTTAACAGCTGATTCTAGGTCTACGTTGTTTTCCTCCTGATTGCCTTTATGCTGCAGGGACTCTGTCACTGTAGTTCTTCTCTTCTTACAGGGCAACATTTTAAAAGTCCCACTTTTGTTCCATTCTGAAAGAATAAAAACAAGTTCTTACTGCCTTCATATTAATTAATCGTAATAACATTTACTCAATTATCTTTTCATTTATTCATGTTCAATCACGAACACAATACTTCACACCAAACGCACAATTTCCCTTTAGGTGGAAGCTGAGAGACAGCAGTTAAGTAACTGAGTTCAAATCTCAACTCCACTGATTACTACTGATGGACTACTGTTACCTTGGCCAAGTGATTTAACTTTGCAAGTCTTCAGTATCCTCAACAGTAAAAAATAATTGCTCTTACTTCATAGAATTGTTACAAGAATTAAAGGGTAAGAGATTAATAAACATTGTTGTTATTACCATCAGGGTGGTAGACTAGCATGATGCTGAGAATAAACTGTGGGGTCAGACTATCTGGATGTTTCCCGAGTCACCTTCTCTCCAGCTTTATGACCTTGTGTGAGTTACTCATCCTGAATCTCAGTTTTTTCAGCTATAAAATGGAATATAGTAGCATCCACTTCATTAGATGGTAAATGATCAATACATGTTTGCTATTGCTGTTTCAATAAACAGGTATTTCCAGGCCAGGCGCGGTGGCTCAAGCCTGTAATCCCAGCACTTTGGGAGGCCGAGACGGGTGGATCACGAGGTCAGGAGATCGAGACCATCCTGGCTAACATGGTGAAACCCTGTCTCTACTAAAAATACAAAAAACTAGCCGGGCGAGGTGGCGGGCGACTGTAGTCCCAGCTACTCGGAGGCTGAGGCAGGAGAATGGCGTGAACCCGGGAGGCGGAGCTTGCAGTGAGCTGAGATCGCGCCACTGCACTCCAGCCTGGGTGACAAAGCGAGACTCCGTCTCAAAAAAATAAATAAATAAATAAATAAAATAAACAGGTATTTCCATTAACGGAAACAAATCAAAAGCAAAGTGTGACTGTTTAAAAGGTTAGGCTATGTTGGCCAGGCGTTGGCTCACATCTATAATCCCAGCACTTTGGGAGGCCGAGGTGGGCAGATCACCTGAGGTCAGGAGTTCGAGACCAGCCTGACCAACATGGAGAAACCTTGTCTCTACTAAAAATACAAAATTAGCCGGGCATGGTGGTGCACGCCTGTGATCTCAACTATTCCAGAGGCTGAGGCAGGACAATCACTTGAACCTGGACGTGGAGGCTGCCATGAACCAAAATCGCTCATCATTGCACTCCAGCCTGGGCGACAAGAGTAAGACTCCATCTCAAAAAAAAAAAAAAAAAAAAAAAGGTTGGCTATATTAACAACTTTTGTGTTGAAACAAGGAAGATAAGAGTCCTACTATCCTCTGTGCTATGTTACTTCTTGGCTTTTTGCTTCAATTCTAGTTATCACATTTTAAGGGCACTACTGACCTAAACCAGAGGGTATCCTCTATGTTCTTTTAGTACCTGTTTGCAAACCTCTTTTACAATACTTATCAGTTTTGTAATGGTTTCTCGTCTTTCTATTTCTCGTCTGCTTCCTCCAAAACTATGAGCTTTTTGAGAAACAGGATTATTTCAATTCATATCCCTAACATCCAGCAGTATCTGGGTTTTTTTTGGAACAAGGTATTGCTCTGTCACCCAGGCTGCATTGCAATGGCATGAACATAGTTCACGGCAGCCTCGACCTCCTGGGCTCAAGCAACGCTCCCACCTCAGCCTCCCAAGTCATTGGGATTACGGTTCCATCCAAGCCACTGCACCAGTTCAGTATTTGGGTATTGTAGATACTCAGTGTATCACTGAGTATTGATACTCCACATGTCACTGAATATTGTAGATACTCAGTGAAAGCTCCCTGAATAATAAATGAAACAGAGGTTAAACAACTTATTCTGTGCAGCATTTGGGCCAAGTGTTAAGCATTATATAAAAACTGATGGTGGCTGGGCGCAGTGGCTCACACCTGTAATCCCAACACTTTGGGAGGCCAAGGCGGGCGGATCACAAGGTCAGGAGTTTGAGACCAGCCTGGTCAATATGGTGAAACCTTGTCTCTACTAAAAAATACAAAAATTAGCCAGGCGTGGTGGTGGGCACCTGTAGTCCCAGCTTCTCGGGAGGCTGAAGCAGGAGAATCACTTGAACCCGGGAGGTGGAGGTTGCAGTGAGCCAAGATCATGCCACTGCACTCCACCTTGGGCAACAGAGCAAGACTCTGTCTCAAAAAAAAAAAAAAAAAAAAAGACATCTTATTACCCAGGAAAACTTTACTGTCATAAATAGATCCAACAATAGAATAAGCTGCCTTGTGTCAGATCACTGGCAATGTTCAAGCAAAGCCTGAATGTCCACTTATCAGAGTACTAGATGAAAGCTGGAACTAGAGAACTGAAAAACAAAAGTTCTTTGTAACTCTAAGAGTCTAAGGTTAGATTTCGCTTTCTTTCTTTTCTTTCTCTCTTTCTCTCCAGAGACAAAGTCTCGCTCTGTTGCCCAGACCGGAGTGCAGTGGCAAGATCCTAGTCACTGCAGCCTCAGACTCCTGGGCTCCAATGACCCTCTGGCCTCAGCCTCCCAAGTAGCCGGGACTACAGGCACTTGCCACAACCCTCAGCGATTTTTTTTTTTTTTTTTTTTTTTTGGTAGAGACGGGGTCTCGATTTATTACCCAGACTGGTCTCAAACTCCTGGCCTCAAGCGATCCTCCCACCTCAGCCTCCCAAAGTGCTAGAATTATAGGCATGAGCCACCGCGCCCGACCTACAGTTAGTTTTAAACCTCCCTTCTGTTTCTCCAAGACATTAGGGGAGATTCTTCATCCCCTCAATCAACTGATGTCCTTAGTAATTAAAGCTTAATAAAACATGAAGATTTCGTTAGATTCCTGTGAGAGATGGTGGTGACTGGATGAGAAATAGAATGGGAGTAGCCAGGGCAACTCTTTTATTTCACAGATAATTACTGAGATCAAAAAAAGGAAAACATAAGAAAAAGAAAGAAAGAAAGAAAAGGAAAAAAGACAGCTACTTCAGCTCCAGGCACCTCAAACACAACAGTAGCTCGACAGAGTCCGCTTTTTTGGGAACCCAAGTCGGACCAGCAGGGTGAATGAATGCCAATGTGGAGGCAGCCCCGGCACGGCCCTCTCCTAGGAAAACATTTTCAAAAGGGGTCCAAGCCGCGCTTCCACCTCGGTGCCCAGGGCTGGCCCCAATCCCCATTCCCAACTAGAGACCTTCACGCCCTTAACTTCCGCTACGCATCCAGCGCCCACCCTCAGACCGGACCCTCTCGTCCTGGACATCGTTCGCCCAGGTGTCCCAGCTCCCACCTGCCTCTTCCCACCCCACCACACACAAACCTGTACCCTCACCTGCCGGCCTGATTCCGCGGAAACGGCTTTGGCACCACCGGAAGTCAGCCAACGACAGCGAATTGCGTGCGCGTCCCCGAGCCTAGGAGCGCCGCGCCGCAGGGCATCAAGGAGCATGCGCCTAACACTATGCGCCATCCCATTTGAGGGCAGAGTGAAGCCACAGCGCTAGTGCGTCAGTTATTGGCAAAAAAATTTAAAGGCACTACTTGACTTTCTCTGCCCATGGAGTTAGCCTACTCAAAAATGAGGTTAAGGTTCAGTGGTTTAGATTAACAGCTAATTTAGGGGCCGGGCGCCATGGCTCACGCCGGTAATCCCAGCACTTTGGGAGACGGAGGAGGGCGGATTACCTGAGGTCAGGGGTTCAAGATCAGCCTGGCTAACATGATGAACCCTCGTCTCTACTAAATATACAAAATCAGCTGGGCGTGGTGGCGCACGCCTGTAATCGCAGCTACTCCGGAGGCTGAGGCAGGAGAATCGCTTGAACCCGGGAGGTGGAGGTTGCTAAGGCAGTCTTGGACTCAAGCTACAGTAATTATTCATATATGTACAATATTCTACATTTTACAAAATGCTCTCACATTTTCTTAGGTGACGTGGTCTCCACAATAAACTATGAGATTATTATATCATATTCCAGTTTGCACAGGACAAAGTTCTGGCTCAGCTGAGTAGGTGATTTCACAATGGTACACAGACAGCTACCAAGGAGAATCAGGTATTAAGTCTCCTAATTCTAGCTAATAATGCATTGACCCAGTGTCCAGGAGGCTGCCTGGGGTGTAACAGATGTTCAATAATTCAATACACGCTTTTTGAATGAGCGAATGAATGAATGAATGAATGACTACTAAAATGATGTTATTTCCACTTTTCTAGAAATACAGAATGTCTGGAATCCACGGAGATTAAAAAATAATAATAATAATAATAACAGAATGTCAAAAGTTGGAAAAATACTTTCAACCCCCTCATTTTACAGGTAAACCACCAACAAAAATTTATACATTTGAACTAATCCTATCTGTAAACAGAATCCAACAGGATGAAATTATCCACAGCCAAAATGAAGGTTCAAATTTACCCAAACACGGCTATAATTGGCAGTAGTCTGACTCTAACCTGAATCACACCAACTCTCCCAAATACCATGGAAGACTCCAGAAGCTCAGAGTTTCATGTGTGTTGTCCTTTGACCTACAGAATACACAGATCCTTTGGTTTGGCCTCTCTCTCATACGAAACCCTAAGCACAGTGAGGCTCATGAAAAACAATTCAACACTGATTAACTTTGGCACCTTTCATTAGTTTTTGTTTGTTTGTTTGTTTTAAAAAAAGACAGCTTTACATACCACAATATCTATCTGTTTTATGTGTACAATTAAATGATTTTTTTTTTTTTTGAGATGGAGTCTCCCTCTGTCGCCCAGGCTGGAGTGCAGTGGCCAGATCTCAGCTCACTGCAAGCTCCGCCTCCCGGGTTTAACGCCATTCTCCTGCCTCAGCCTCCCCGAGTAGCTGGGACTACAGGCGCCCGCCACCTCGCCTGGCTAGTTTTTTGTATTTTTTTAGTAGTAGAGGCAGGGGTTTCACTGTGTTAGCCAGGATGGTCTCGATCTCTGACCTCGTGATCCACCCGCCTCGGCCTCCCAAAGTGCTGGATGCAGGCTTCAGCCGCTCCCGGCCTTTGTTTTTTTTTTTTTTTTTGAGACAGAGTCTGTTCTGTTGCCCAGGCTGGAGTACAGTGGCGCCCGCTCCCGGCCTTTGTTTTTTTTTTTTTTTTTTTTTTGAGACAGAGTCTTGTTCTGTTGCCCAGGCTGGAGTACAGTGGCGCAATCTCGGTTCACTGCAACCTCCACCTCCTGGGCTCAAGCGATCCTCGTGTCTCAGCCTTCCAAGTAGCGTGCACCACCACTCCCGGCTAATCTTTGCATTTTTAGTAGAGACCGCGGTTTCACCATGCTGGCCAGGCTGGTCTCGAACTCCTGACCTCAAGTGATCTGCCCGCCTCGGCCTCCGAAAGGTTTGGGATTACAGGCGTGAGCCACCGTGCCCGACTGTTTTTTAAAAATTAGTAAATGTTCAGACTTGTGCAACCATCTCCAGGTTAGGTCTTTGATCAGAGTTTCTGAGGTTTAGGACAGTTTCCACCCACTGTGAAATATGAGCCTAAAAAAAAGTTCCGTAATAACCTTTAGCGGTCTCAGAAAGCATAATGATGGCAATCGATACTGAAATCCAGGCAGTACAGAATTTTATTTTCTCAAAATTCTGGAACTCAGGACCGAGAACATTTTGCTGCTGTATTAAAGCCTAGGAAACTGAAATCGGAGGATTTCATGTAATAATCTACCGACGCGGCCGGGCGCGGTGGCTCAAGCCTGTAATCCTAGCACTTTGGGAGGCCGAGACGGGGGGATCACGAGGTCACAAGATCAAGACCATCCTGGCTAACACGGTGAAACCCCGTCTCTACTAAAAAATACAAAAAACTAGCCGGGCGAGGTGGCAGGCGCCTGTAGTCCCAGCTACTAGGGAGGCTGAGGCAGGAGAATGGCGTGAACCCGGGAGGCGGAGCTTGCAGTGAGCCAAGATCTGGCCACTGCACTCCAGCCTGGGCGACAGAGCGAGACTCCGTCTCAAAAAAAATAATAATAATAAATAATCTACCGACGCTTCTTACTCCTCAATACTTTCTCGTTTCGGAACCACAGCCCGTCAGTGGGCGGGGCCTCATTCTCGGGAAAACTCGGCGGTGGGAGGAGTACCCTCCCGGAGATCTTCCGGAAGGGGCGTGGTATGACTTCCGTAATCTTTCGGGCAGAGGCGGAGTCTTCTTCCGAGGACCATTCGGAAGAAGGCGGAGCCTACCTCGCATCAGACTCCGAGGACCATTCGGAAGAAGGCGGAGCCTACCTCGCATCAGGACCAGTCTGACTGCACCTGCATCCTTAGCTCAGCGCATCCCCGGAGCATCGTTAAGAGCCGAGCGCAGCTGACAACTAGGGCCGGACCGTCGCAGGAGGCGTCCGCTGGATACCTTCCCCCTTCCCTGACCTAGAGCTCTACAGCTGCGGCCTCGGTACTGACCGAGGGTTCCCAGAGTTGTCTCACCATTGCAAAAACGTTATAGCAACAGCCTCTGATTACGACATGGCTGAGATCACCAATATCCGACCTAGCTTTGGTAAGTAGACTCGGGAAAACTAAGCTTGAGGTGGTCAGAATGGGTGCAAGGCCAAGGGGGCCCAGCGGCAGGGCAGAGAATGCAGCCCAGACCAGAGCCTTCAAAGTGCCAGCCTCGCTAAAATCGGGCCTGTGGTGGTGGGTAGTGGGCAGTTGACAGTGCATGAACTTGAGCTATGGGCTGCAGGGACTGGCAGGGCCAGAGCCACACCGAGGGTGGGGAAGTCCAGGATGCTAAAACCTTGTATGGTGCACTGTCAGCACTGCTGGAGGTGAGAAACAGCAAGCGTGCGGAGGATGTGAACCCCTCCTTCTGGGGGAGGAGAGGTGGGGTAGGACGAGCCCTCCCCCTTGGGGCACGCAGGGCGGTGCCCCTTCCTCCCCCTCCCATTCCTAAGGGCTGCGGGGGAGGGAGGTGACAAGGGGGATGGGGCATCAAGATGGCAGCTTGGAGACTGTGGGCCGTGTGGCTGGCAGCCAGGGGACGCGGCGGCCTCTGGGGAAAGAGGGGTGCGGGGGTGGGGAGCAAAAAGGAAGCCACTCCTTAAGCCGGTCAGCTGGATACTGGAGCTAGAAGGAAACGTGAGCCCTGCAAGTTCCATTCTGCATCGTAATGGTGGGGTCCATCCGATGCTACCAAATGGCGCTTGGCGCTGCTGGGCTGGGGGATGACGTGATGTCTATTTCTGGGCCTCCTGGCAGCGCCGAGGCTGTCCTTCCCGGGCCTTTGTTCCCTGTTTCCCTGGGCCGGCTTTTCAAAAAGGGGGACTAACCCGCGTTGATGCTGGCGGGGGCGCGATCCAGGCCGGAGGGGGAGGGGCGAAAGAGGCCCAGCCTGGGGGAGGCCGCTTTGTGTACCGCAGAAAGCATTACGTCATTTCAGAGCGGCTGGTCCCCGACCCAGCCCTGTGGGCTCCAAGATTAGTTTTACACTCCCGGAGCAGAAAGTGGAGTGGAAAATAGGGAAGAAGGTGGCAAAGACAAGCTTGAGAAGGAAGTTTTTTCCTCTTTGGGGACTCCTCCAGTATATGCTAAAGGAGCAAACTTCCTGTGTTATGCTTTCCTGGCCAACAAAATAAAATATAATTGCCCTGCTTCTCCTTAATTCTACTACAGTTTAGAAGGGGGAAGCCAGTGAGAGTTGCTGCCAAAGAACCTTCTTATTCCTTCAGGGATTCTATTCCTCAGACAATCCAGAAGGTTTGAGCATCGGGACTCCAGTTTTTAGGGTGGAGACACAATCCAGCTAGGAAATGGCTTTTCTCATTCCTGAATAAGAGGTGCAGTGAAATGAGCAGAACCCAGTGTGCTCTATCCACTCAGAATAAGGAAGAAGAAATCAAATCAGATGTATTCAGATAACAGATCTTCACACTCATTAACTACTTGTTCTCACTTATTCCCCAAGGCTAAATCTTGATTGTATTTTTTCTTCCACTTCACCTTCCGCATCTTTATTCTTTGAGTTCTAAGTTCCCAAAACAAAAGTCCCTTTCATGATCACATGAGCAATCCATGATTTCTTCCTGTTCTTTTTCTTCTTATGCCCTTCCAACAGATTCCTTTCCCTAACTGCAGTTCCAGAATCCTTGAAAAAGGAGATGGTGTGGAACATAATATAGTGATTTCTCTTAGAGGGACTATGATTGGAAAAGGGAAAATAAATTGTATCAGCCTGTTACATACTACATTTTATTTAATCCTAACAAATACCCTTGACTGTATGTATTATTATATATACTTGCCAGACAAGGAAACCAAGGCTCAGAAATAAAATAACTTGGTTAAAGTCAAACAAATGAGTAAAGGTAGTGCTAGTTTTTGTTTTTGAGACGGAGTTTCAATCTTGTTGCCCAGGTTGGA